AAATCTAACCGCTAAAGAAACTTCAAAGCACGAAGAAAATATTTTTAAAAAAAATAAACCAATCCCTCGCCGGACTCGAGGTGACGGGATGACGACGGTTTGTGAAAGCCTTTGGGAAGCCAATTGACCGATGTGTCTTCTCTTCCTCGATGAAAGCGAAAGTAAACATGGAGACACGGAATGTCTACACCATCTTTGAACCAAGCAAGGCAGCCCAGATTGCAAAAGAGATGAGAAGGTGTCACATCGAAGTGCTGAGAATCTGCTAAAGCATGTGGAATGGAAGTGGAGTCTCCAAACTGTCAACTGGAGAGTAGAGTCAATAATCTACTCCAATATTGTCACCCAGACGCCAACCACGAGCACACTGAGGGAGTGGCTATCATGATGTCCCCAACAGCATCGAAGGCTCTCATGCAGTGGGAACCAGTCTCCTCCAGGATCATGACAGCAAGGTTCAACTCAAAAGGAAGGAAGGTCACAATCATACAATGTTATGCACCTACAAATAATGCAGAGCAAGAGAAAAAAGAGGAATTCTACACACAACTTCAATCAACACTGGACAAGACCTCAGTTGGCGACATCAAAATTCATTCTAATGGGTGACATGAATGCCAAACTGGGAGCAGACAACACAGGAAGAGAACTAACCATAGGTCGAGAAGCACTCGGTGAGATGATGAACAAGAATGGAGAACTGTTTGCAGAATTCTGTGCATTTAACGATTTGGTGATTGGAGTCAGGCAGTGTGTTCAAGCACAGGGATATCCACAAAGCGACATGGATTTCACCAGACACCAGACACACTAAAAATCAGATCGACTTTATCCCAATCTCAAGAAAATGGAGATGCAGTCTACTTGACACAAGGTCAAGAAGAGGAGCCGATGTAGGTTCAGACCACTCACTATCTAGTGCAAGGAACCTACCTTCCAAATCAAGTTAAAAGCCTTCAAGGAAGCTGGTGATAGACCTCAATTCAAGTACAATACTCGGAAACTGAAGGATGAAACTACAAAGGAGATCTTCAAAGCAGCCAGCCATCAAGACAAAATGGGAGACGTCGAGGGACATCCCTGAAGAAACCTGTGTGGAAGAACACTGGAAGTCTTTGAAAGCTATGTGGAAAGAAACCTGCACAGCCGTATTAGGAAGGAAGAAGGTGGAAGATACGGAATGGATCTCGACGGATACCCGGAAGCTGATAGAGGAGAGGAGGATGGTGAAACAGAAGATAAACCAGTGCAAGGATGCTCAACGACAAGAGGAACTGAGCACAATGTATAAAACACTGCACTGGACAAAGAAGTGAAGAAGAGTGCACGCAAAGACAAAAGACACTTCTACGAAACACTGGTAAGTGAAGCAGAACAGGCTGCAGGTAGGAGAGATAGAGACCTGACAACATTGTATCAAATAGCCAGGTTACTATCTGGGAAGGAAGAGATCAACACAGATGAAACTAATAAAAGATGATGAAAGTAATTTAATTACCAAAGAAGAGAAATAAAGGAAACAATGGGCCGACCACTTCAAGAAGCTCTTGAATCGATCACCACCTGCACTTCGTCCACAAATACCACCTACAACCACAGAACTACAAGCGAACACAAATCCTCCAACAAAAGTCGAAGTCCTCAACGCCATAAAGCTACTGAAATGTGGGAAAGCAGCAGGACCAGAGGGAATCCCACCAGAAACACTGAAAACAGACGCAGAGACAATAGCGGACATGCTCACACTACTATTGCAGAAGGTGTGGAAGGAAGGGAAGGTACCTGGCGATTGGAAGAAGGGTTACCTTGTCAAACTGCCGAAGAAAGGAGACCTCAGTGTTTGCAAGAACTGGCGCGGAATCACGCTCCTCTCGCTGTCCACCCAAAGCAAAATATTAAGCTGCATCATCTTGGAGAGACTAAACAATGCTCTGCATTCAAAACTACGACCGGAACAGACTGGATTCAGGAAGTGTAAATCATGTGAAAACCAAATTGAAACGCTTTGCATCATCACAGAACAGAGTATAGAATGCCAGTCAACTCTCTACCTCAACTTCATTCACTTTGAGAAGGCCTTTGACAGTGTCGACTGAGAAGTAATTTGGAAACTGCTTCAATACTACGGAATACCGCAAACCTGATGGTTTTCCTGGTTGTGGTCAACTGTATCATGCAGTAAACAGTGAGGAGCGAGAAGAGGGGGATACGCCCGTCCGGGGAAAAGAACCTAGAAGATTTGGATTTCACCGATGACTTATGTGTAATGTCACGCGAACTTGAAGATCTATAGACGAAACCTAACAAGTTGACAGAAGAAGTAGGGCAGCAAAAACGAGACTTCAAGTTAGCGTAGAGAAGACAGAGTTGGTGAAGATACCCAACCAACAACAACAGCAACAACAAGCTCCAATCACCATCAACGGGAGAAACCTAAAGCAAGTAGCCTCCTTCAACTATCTAGGCAGCACTGTTTCAACTACAGGTGGCGGCATAGACGAGGACGTCAAAGCCAGGCAGGATCGGAAAAGCAAGAGAGGCGTTCATTAACCCGAAACCAATGTGGAGATCTTCTGCACTCAGCATGTGGAACAAGATCCGGATTTTCAACACCAACGTCAAGTCGGTGCTCCTGTATGGTTCGAAGACTTGGCGCATTACGAAAGGGATTTCCAACAAACTACAGATATCCTTCAACAAATGGCTACACTGACTCGTCACTGAAGATCAGATGACCAGAATAACAAGAATAAGCAACAAGGAACTCTGGGAACGAACCAACCAAGAACCTATCACCCAAGAAATATGCAGCAGAAAGTGGAGATGGATTGGGCATACACTGAGAAGGCCGACTGGGGACATCACGCACCAGGCCAGGCCCTCGAGTGGAACCCAGATGGGAAGCGACGAGTTTGGAGTCGCAGCTGATGGTGACATGGAGGAGATCGTGTGAGGAGGAAATGAGAGCTTGTGGGCTGTCGTGGAGCCAGGTTCAGAAAATTTCAGAGAAGAGAGTGGAATGGAGACGTGCTACTGAAGCCCTACGTTCCATTAGGAACCCAAGGGACAAATAATAATAATAATTTAGAAATGTATACAGACGGTTATGATGACAAGGCAGTCAGTATAATGTTCTATGCGCCAGAATCAGTACGCAATATTACGACGTCGACGATCATGAGAATAATACAAGTCACGAGTACTGTAAGCCCTATAGGATACAATATAGAATCACTTTTAACTATTTTTTACAGAACACAAAATGAGATTAAAAATGACTTTAATTCGATTGATTCCTCAAAACCCAACAACTTTTGCGAGAATGTATCTCTTTTATTTAGTCAAATAAGGAGTTGTTCTACAATTATAGTAAAAGATCATGGCCTATAGAGCGAAGACCGATATTATTTTTAAAAAAAGTGCTAACCAACGGATTCCAATTCACTGAATGAAAATCAATTTACTGGTAAAATTCTGTAGGGTTTAATTCGAAAAGTAGTTTTGCCTTAATAGTACCAATCGCTTCTAAACAAGGAGGAATTGAATGTTCAGTGTAAGCTCATCTTTAAAAGTTCCTTTCAACAAATACAATTTCGGATAGCAATAGGAAAATAGCGAACATTTTACCAAGGTCAGCCTTTATGTCAGTCATATAGTTTCTTTGTCTATTGGTGAGCCTGTTTTATTGCTCTAGATTAAAAGACATTTCGATTAATTCAGTTAAAAAACAGACACGTATATGGACCAATACACAGGATGAAATCATACAAAGGTCATCAATTCAAGTACAAAGGTCATGTCTTTTTTCTGAGTAAAATGACCTTAAAAATAAGTGCAAAACTGATGATTGTGCTTTAAAGTTCATTTGATAAAAGTGACGATGAGCTCGAAACGATACATTAGTGAAAAACGTAACTTCGCTCGCAAGGTATGTAGGACAGAGAAGAAATGTTTCACGAACCCTGAGAAATCTTAAGACCATCTATTTTAAACGTTTTAACTAACCAGTAAAGTTTTGACTGTTATTTGAGGAAAGTTTAACGAAACGATCACTGACTGATGGTGTTCTAACCAAGACTGCTGTACAAGATAAGAAGAAAATGACGATCCTATACCACTAGGAAAAGTAACTCTAAAAGTTCGACCCAGATTTCTACAAAATAAGGTGTGACACCTATAAAAACATCACTAAGTACTTAATCCTCCATCCTGTGATATGTGCTGATGGAGAAAGCCTATCCTGAATTAGACCAAATGTCAATATGCACCTTCCATGGAATATTTAAAAGTTGAATGTACACTTTGCATTTTAAGGTAGAAAAGAAATACAATTCGAGCACTGTCAATAAAAGAAGATAAAGGTTTACGACCTGCTACAACATCACTATTATCCCATGTGGATAAACTAAAATGCATGAAATTTGCTTTGATCATTTAAAGATCATAGTATTGACTATAAAAAATATACAGCGTGAACTTGAACATATTTAAAAAGTTTTTATTGTATAACCTTGTGAAGACCAGTTTTTATTAACAAATAACACTGTGTCATACAGTATAATGACCATGTTGCATTATTGTATCAAAGGAAAAGACTGACAAAGTCAACGTAAAACATCGCACACAGGTGCATCAGCTCAAGTAGTTACACTTCGCAGTAGTATGTAAAATAACACGTGGATAGAATAAGAGTGATATCAAAGTAAACAGTGGTGTGAGAGAATTAACAATTTGAAGATAACGGTCAGGGAAAATAATCAATCTTTAGAAGATGTCAAGGAGTGAATACATCTGCACTATTGTGACCAATTTTCAGCCATGTCACCATGAGTCATCAACCACTATCATTTCGCGGACCCTAACGATGCAGTCTACATCTTCCCCCCTACTCCCCACACGATTCAAACCAACAGTAAGGGACTTCATCGACTGGAAAGAAAAAGGTAACAACACTACCATATTATCATGAAGTATTTACTTTTTAAAAAACAGATACTCACTTTACAACCTTCACAAGTCAGTGCACCAAAATGAAAACCAGAAGACGGGCCACTGCAAACACGACATGGTATTTGAGAAATATCACAGCCAGCTTCACCACCGGGGGCTATAGGAAAATATGAGAAAAACAGTAATAGTAAAATATTACTGAATGCAAATATGCACAGATCTCGAGTGGTTGAATAAGAAATCAATGGAAATTTCATGACAGGAAAAAAACGTTTTTTATGGATGGCATGTAACAGATAACAATGAACTCGATCACACATATTTTCGCATACATTTGGTTTGTCAAAAGAAGCCAGTTTCACTGAAATATCAGATCGTCATGCGTTAGGTTACTGAATTATGGTAACAGCTGACTGTAAAATGTTTCATTTTGTTGCCAAAGCTTACGTTCTTGTATATGGACAATCGAAAGTAAGCAGTCCCGATGAATAAAACGAAGTAGAAAACCCATGTTTAATGCTTTGCATATAGGGAACTAATCTGACCAGATGAGTAAAGGTATTCTACAAACTAGCCATCTGATTATTAGTGATAGCTGTGAAATTCAGGATGCGGACTTTGTCCTACTCGGGACTCATCAGCTGGAAGTACCTACCTCCCACTGGGACTTGAACTCCGAACCGATCGTTTCGAACGCTACAGCGTTATCCACTAGGCTACTCAACCACGATAACCACTTCTTGTGAGATGAGTATAGTTTTAATGTTGTCACTCGTATTATCCGGTCGCTGAGTCGACCAAATCGGTCGGTCTCCATTGGCATATGGGCTCCTGTGTGGAAGCCTCGACATTGTCTGTGTTTCAATTTTCGCATAATCTTCAAAGGTACCAACCTTAAATATGCGTTTTATGGACGAAAGCTGCAGTGAATTGTACAATACCTAGAATACCCACTCAAATATTCAAGTGGAATAGGCAAGTGACACAACTTGAATTCATGACATCAAAGATCCGAATAAAATTACAACTACTAATCATCAATATATTCTTATATGTTTTTCGTTAGTTTACTAAAAAAATAAAAGATCGGTAAAATAAAAAGTGATATTGCTAACATGGCAGTGTGCTAGATGGTGTTACTCACTGTGAACAGAGAAGAAGAAAGGAGATAGAACCAGTGAATGGATGGTTGCGTTGAGTCACAAATATGCAAAGTTATGTGTAACTGATACTTCATTCTAGCTGGGCATACTTTAATGCACAATAACTGCTGTGTGTTTAATAGCAGGATATTAAAAATGAAAAGAGTTCTAACAAAACATCATGGGAGGTTGTACAAATAAAACAGAATGGTAGATTTTAAGCTTACAAGATAGGAGATAGCTGTTTACCGTTCTTTCATATTTTAACCGTAGATATTTGATTGTCGGGATAAAATTACTGTATCACGGATCGCCTATTATTGAAGTCAATTAACCTGATAATAAAAGGGTTGAAATTAAATATCGCAGTATTCAGAATGCTAAACAATATCTATAATCTCAAGTTATTGACATATTTCCCGCTTCATGTTAATGTCACATATCACAGACCAGTGGGTATGCAAGCAGTGAAAGGGAATGAAACCAGCACACATACCCCTGAGTGGTGACTTAACTGGAACTGTTGGTAAGTGGTTTAGAGAGATGACCACCAATCGTCGGGTCGTGAGTTTGAACTCTTCTTTGCCTACCAAGGTTTGGGCAGCCAGATAGTCTCACTAGCTCTCGCGCAATAGATTTGGCTGACTGCTTACTATACAAATGTGCATAAGATAGCTAAGTGCGCTTCTTCTTCAATTTAACTGTCTGGTGTGATTTCATTTGAAACAGGGATAGGGAAGAATGAAACGTCTGAATTACTGAAAGTTACGGCAACATTTAATCTTCCGTAAACTCTGTTTAACAAGTCAAACTTTAGTGGCCGCTTCCAGGGATATACAACTCTTGTCTGTTTCACACTCAATAAACAGTTACAGAAGACGTCGCGCTGATAGCCTAGTACACGAAAAATTATGTTGCTCTGTCTATTTTCACCAAAATACTATTATATACTGTTGTGTACTGAGTATTTTAGAATAATTAAACAGATTATATTGGTTTAGCGAAACTGAACCACGATTGTATGCAAGCATCAATGCGATATCCCTCTAGTCTACAAAAAGCAAACTACAGGGAACGCACATACACTCAAGTTATGATGTTCGTCGACAGCAGAATAAAATAGAATGACACGAACACAAAAGTATTGTCTGGAAAAGTCAAATCAGAACGCTAGGAATAGACAGACAGAGATACACATGACCTGGTAAAATTGAATCGTTATACTTCACATCAGTAAACTGAAGTTATATTACCCATAGTTGTAAAATATCATGATACAAAAAGAAAACAGACAACTAATGTATAATTACTGTTATTCCGTGCTTCTCAGTAAGTTACTTCTAATAGTTATATCCTTAGTTTTAGTTCAAAACTACATACTAAACACAACCGCAACTTGCCTATTTCATTTGATCAAAGTAGTATTCATCACGGATTGATAACAGTCAGAGAAACATTGAAAACCTAAGAGCACTAGACGGCTGTTTCATTCTATTATGGAATCCTCAGTAGTATACACCCAGTACCCGGATAAGGGTAGAAATCAGAACCTTCAGATTTCACGGCGAACGCATTAATCATTCAGCCACTGGGTCAGAGTACAATGCTTCACAGTTTCCAACTTCTATCAGTTCACGATATATTACAACTATCATCCAAGGTCTTCAGTTGGCATCCACTTTCTTTCCAACCGGTTGATCCCACAGGTCACAGCTTCTCATTAGAACTTAGAGATATCCATCTCAGAGTATACATTAATCAGCACTATACAGTAATGGATTTCGAGGTTACTGGGGATTTTAACTTATAGGTAGTATTCATCACCGACCGACATCAGTCGAAGAGCCGTCAGGAACCTGGGAGTATTGGAAAATGTTTCATCCCAGTATGGGACTCCTCAGCAGTGGAGAAATGTTTTTAGCATCCAGCTTAGAAAAGTCGAGTTGTAGTCAATCCCTTTGTTATAGAATATGAATGGAGCATGTGGGCTTTATGCACGTTTGAAAAACACTTGTATTCTTAATAATGTTATAAGTATCTAGTTCAGACTTGTTACGAATGTCCCGTAAGAATTGATTTCCTTACATAACACTTCCATTTTTGCATAATATTACGAACACATTCTTGTTAAATTTATGTTCTAAGACTATTCTGGCTCAAATTTAAACGAGGACTTAGGTTATCATTTCTGCCTTTTGAAGAAATTTATCTACCCACTTGTCTTTTATAATTTTTTTCGTGCTACTGTAATTAACAGTCCATCTGAAAACTTTGTTTGATCTTCCACCTGAATGCATCAAAAAGTCAATTACCTGGTTTTAGTTTAGCTATCTCCTTGAAGCTTTTTTGTCGTTTGATCTCATTCCTGAAGACAAATGTTTGATCCCACTATTGGGAATAGTACTGTTGGTTATGAAATCTCTAACTTTTGTGCTATAAACTTCGTTTACCATATAATCACTAATTTTTAGTGGACAGGTGGCATCGTTAAGATGTACTTTTGTTGTATTCGCCTTTAATAGTACAGTGTGCTATCATTAATGTGCAAGGAGATAACGTGAGCTACGCAGAAAGAACGCAGTCGTTTAGTCTGATCTAAAAGAAAACGGTTTTCGGTTATAAACGGTCTTTAAACTAGAATACTTGCATTTTTGTCATTATACTACCAGAACACTCAAATCACAATCAGTAAGTTTATGTTTAAAAACCCGATTAATCGACCAAAGTATGGATCGAAAGATGAGGGGCAATCATCAATAAAATGGCTGCTGAACGACACCATATGTTATACCTAGTCGTCGGTTGAACATTCTACGGACTGGTAACAAACAGTCTTCTATAATACCGTCAACTTCTCAATGATGACCAGACGACTAACGTTAATACAAAGCGAGATAACGTAAAATCATGATGTTTCCGTTTAGATGATGAAAGGAGACTGACAAGGAATCCGGTTATAATTCTAGGCTTCACTTTGATTAAGATTCTTCATCGAGGTGTGCATCCACAAAAATCATATGCAAATCATTCATACTTCATGAAATTCTCAGTTTCAAACACGTCAGTAGTAGTTCCTGACTGTTGTGCTCCATTGATGCACGTTCAAGAGAATATGGATCTGTACAACATTGTAGACATACCATGATCACAAGTGTCCAAGAAGCACTAAACCCAGAGATATTAGGTATCTAAGTAACTGAATTCATTCCTCTAGAATGAATTATCCTCAATAGGAAAGGAGACCAGTAATAATGGCCTCGATACGCTTAGTTCAGATTAAAATTCACGATGATTACTGATGATTAAACAGCACAGTACTCCACATCAAATCTAAACATAGATTAAAGTATTTAGAGTGTACTCCTAAGGAACCGATATTTCTGGATGTATAATTACTAAACATGATGTGACTCATTTACATAGGTGTAGACACGCACATGCGAAGCAACAAGCACCGAAGAGACATGCGAAAGTAAGCAATTGCACCCACTCACCCACAAACACACACAAGTATACAATAAGACAGGGTCGAAAATGTCAAAATGGAAGGTTTAAATCAATGAGATCATAAGAGAAAAACAATCAATACCACATATACAACCACTACTACTAATGTCCATGATCTAGTTCCTGACTTGATGATATAGTGGACATATACATGGAGAGAGAGAGAGAGAGATAAACCCACGCAAACCAATAGGTAAACAAGAAATCAGAGTGAAGAGACTGGGTAAACAAATAAAAAAGTAGATAAATGAATGAAACAAGTAAACAGATACAAAATGTAAATAATCAATATTATATCGATTAGGTACAGAAATCCCTATCTTGTTTTTCCTTTTCTCCTCCCTCATTTCACGATATACAACACTAAGAGAAACAATAAAAAAAAAGCAACAATTCTAGTACGGAAAATTTGATGAACTTATCCACACTTTATTTTCATTTAGAAGAATATAAGGAATTCAGACTGGGTTGGAATTTTCGGCGGCAAATTTTTTTATATGAAAATCAACAATACAGTTGGCAATGCAACCGTGCAATGTTATCTGCCTGTAGTTTGGCATCGAAATGCTATCTGTCAGTCAAAACTTAAGCTGAAAGAACAGTTCAGC